GACCAGGAGGTGATGATCAACTGTATTGCCAAACATGCGCCAAACTAACTGACTGTTATAAGAAAACAAGTATAGCTGAGGCACCAGTCAATCTAATAATAACACTGATGATCTTCAAACATGAGTCAACCTCTGACGGAAGCACCAAACTCGAAATAGATGAACACTTCAATCTAGCTGACCACTAATATAATATTATTGCAGTCATTGTTCACTGTGGTTCTGGCGTTGAATTTGGTCATTATCACGCCTTGGTCAAAGACGAAACGGACTGTTTTAAGTTTGACGGTAGTCATGTCACTAAGTGTTCTGGCGACATATTGAATTTACTGGATCCTCTGGAGATACCCTACATTTTGTTTTATGAAAGAGAGGACATTGGCAGATCAAGATCTTCAGATGATGTGGTGTGGCAGGTTTTTTCGGGTTTTCCTGCAGCTGAAAAAGCAAATGTGCCACTGGAATCAATGAAGTCGCCCTGGAGCGCCAATTAATTTTTGTTGTTGTTTTATCATTCCATGATTTGTATACAAAAATATAATCGAATTGTTTCTTCTACCACTTTTATTTGTAATAAACGTTACTACAGTTTCGTCCTATAAGGACAATTTCAAACTAATACAATAAACTTAAATTAATTGATAATATAAGTCCTTATATCTCATATCTAAACACCACTGGCAGTCTGCTTTCAGTACTTTTCCACTCCCCCACTATCGCTCGTGCTTGTTTCAACAAAACAAAACAGGATCAAGCACGCTGAAGTGAGGTGAGTACGCGGTGGAATGCTCCTGCACATATTTCCGAAAAAATTATACGAAGTTAAATCTATGGATGTTTCGTCTGCATAACAGAGATTTAAGAATATTTAAATGGCATCAGTCTGATTCGAACACACATTCTAGATAGGAAACTTATCAGTAGTAGGTAAAACAGGTTAACTAGGGATTCTTGAAATGTTGTTAGATTTTATTTGTGTTATTTAAATTGATAAAGGTATGGTATACCTCATCTACGAATTATATGTACTTGGTATATAATACAATATTTGAGGCGGTCCGCGAATCAACGGTCCGTAAAAGGACCGCGGTTCGCCTGTTGCTGACCGCGGGCTTAGAGATAGATAAGTATTCGAGGGTTTAAAAATTGAAGTGTCACTGTTACAGCTTAGTGTCTATTCGTGACGTAACACTTAATAAACAATTATTTGTGACATAAGAATTAATTACTCTTTCAACAACCTAATAACGCAGTTGTTTATGTAGTAATGCATTGAAACTCAGTCGAACGCCTTGGTTAGATCACAAATTGTAATGACTATAAGCAAATCCTCCTCAAGGCCATCAACAACAGATTCGACAACACACAAAATAGCTGGTCCGATTCTTGCGGTAAGTATACTGAGATTGAGAAAAAAAAACTACTGGTTTCAATATAGAAACACTGGCATCTTTTTAAAATTATTCAAACGATGTTACCAAAATCGGATATTATGGAAATAAAACGAAATTTTCTGANTATCCCGTCTGTTTGGATTGTTGAATATGAATATACAAGATTGAACAGAGTTCATTCTTCCTCTTGCACCTTACAAAAAAAGAAATGAAAAAGAAGAAAAAAAAACAAAGGACCTAAAATAAAATTTGAATTGTGATAGCGGGTACAACATTCAATTCATGAGGCGGATTTCGATACAAACAGGATACTACAAATACATGAACTCCTCCTGCCTTATAGTATATGGGCAAATAAAAACACATATACAAAATAACCCCATAAGACCGGTACTTTCGTAAATAGTCCGGTAAAAGAACTAGGAATACGGCTCAACACGTTGTCCAAAAATATTACCAATTTCGTCCCACGTCATATCATTACAAATTCGCACACTTTAGTGTACAAAATAAGTCCAAACCACACCATATAATTCAATTTGAGTTTCATTCGATGTAAAGAGTATGTTCTCTAACAACGAACAACGTACAACGAATGTATAAGCCTCTCAATTTGGATCTCGGAAACTATGAGAGTTACGAAGATGGTTAAATTGGAGCAAAGTTGCGCATTTACCTGACAAGCAATATGCCGTTGAGAAAGTTCTGAAATTCCGAGTATATCCGGAAATATCCGGAAAAAACAGAAATTTCGGAAAATGGTTTTAATTTTTTTCTGGCTTCATTTTTCGAAGGATTTGAAAATAAATTGCACTTTCACATTGCCACTTTTTTCCTACTACATAATGGTGTTTTCAGATTTGCTATCCGGCGTTTTGTCTTCCGGCCACCATCATCAACTTTATTTTTTCTTATGGGCGCTACATTGGATTATTTCTGTTTTGAATAGAACCAGATTAAACCTTTTCAATGATGTATCGTAAGTTATCATGCTTCATCGAAAACTGAGGATACACTACAAAAACACACTTTTGTCTATTTTCCACTATATTTCTTTATTGTTGACCGGTTTCGGCTATTATACCATTTTCAAAACAAAAGTGTGTTTTTGTAGTGTATCTTCAGTGAACATGAATTTCCACAAAATAAACAAGTCGTCAATCGAAGAAGTGAACTTCATCGAAAAATTGGAGATATTGAAAAAAGTTAATTCTTATCATAATAGGCTTTGACTTTGATGTTTCCCAATTTAACTTTCAATTTGTTACACTTAATGACATTTTGTACATTATTGTACAAATCATTGAATTTTTGGCAAAAAATGGCTTTCACGAATAAAGAAAAAAAAAGATATGATACATATTTATTACAAATAAGATAGAAACAGTGTTAAGACATTGGAAATGTATTTAAACTTGTATCCCGAAAGACGACAACCACATCGAACTATGTTCAAGTTATTGGATCAAAGTCTCACCGAGTTTGGTTCATTTGAAAAACCGAGGAAAAAATACGGAGACAGAATGGACCAAGAAATTAAAAAAAATTGATAATTGATGAGGTATGTATAAGGTAAGTCCTCTTCAATAAATATTAATACCTAATTTTGATATAAACATGAACCCTGGAAAAATCTAGACGTCAAATTTCCTCCGATATGAATATTTTTCATACAAATGTTTGGAGACATCTTAAAAAAGCGGTTTGAAATGTTACAAAATACGCATATCTAAAAAAGTGCATCCAGGTGATCCCGAATTGCAATTATAATTTTGTAATTGGTTAATAAGAAAACCTGATTTTCCTGTTTTCCTGGAAAATGTAATTTGGACAGATAAAAGCACTTTTACGACTTGTGGGATATTCAATCGAAATAACGAACACATTTGGAGCATAAATAACCCTAAGCAGTTCCTAGAAATTCGACCTCAAGTGCGATTTAGTATTAACGTTTGGATAGGAATTTACAAAGATAGAATTTTGGGTCCTCATTTATTTGACGGAATTCTGAATGGAGAAACCTGTCACCAGTTTTTGATGACTATTTTCGAAGACTATTTGGATGATCTACCTTTGGCTAACTATAACAACATCTGGTTTCAACATGATGGTACTCTACCGCACACTAATTACCGGCCTGAATAGATTGTTGATAAATGGATAGGGAATAATGGGCCAGTGAGGTGGCCGGCAAGGCCTCCAGACTTAAGTGTTATGGGGTACACAGAAAAATAGAGTTAATGGTCAGAGGGAATCAAAATATTGAGGACCTTCAACACAGCATTGTTAGAGATTTCGAAAGATTGAGGAGAAGGGAAATTAATCGTGCAGTGAATAATATTCGAAAAAAGGGCACAGTTATGTAATCATGAACAAGGCCAGCATTTTGAGGATTTGTTGCGATTCACTTTTGTCTTTACATTTTAGTTAATTATTGTTATATGTTTAAAGTTCTATTTTAATTGAGAAGGACACAATGTCCCATTTACCTCATACACACCTCATTTATAAAATTTTGGTTGTTGATTCTGTCTCCGTATTTTCTCATTGGCTTTTCTAACAAATCAAACTCGGTGAGATTTTGATCCAATAACTTGAACATAGTTCAATGTGATTGTCGTCTTTCTCAATATGGATGTGCAATGTATTTTCGAATCCTTCGAAAAGTGAAGTGAAGAGTATATCTCCGGATATACTCGAAATGTCAGAACTGTCTCAACGGCATATTGTTAGTCAGGTGAATGCACAACTTTGCCCCAATTTTACCATCTTCGTATCTCTCACAGTCTCCGAGATCCCAATGGTGAGGATCGAATTTGAATAACCCTGTATTAGATCAAACCCAAGTAGACCATGTCACTTTTTTTGAAATTTTAACAGTTTTCAATATATGTCTAAATCAGACTCACTTACAGTTCAATAACAAATTTTACAGGTAAACAGGAATCACGTTCACCAATGAGCTTAGTCCACATTTAGCAGACATATGAATTTTTTTTTTCAAAAACTCCATCTCACGATTTGATCTCCACACACTTGATTTGAAAAAATATAATCACAACATGTTTTGCTAGCACAGTAGCTTTCTCAAGTGTATGAATATGAAACATGTTGTGATTATATTTTTTCAAATAAAGTTTGTGGAGATCAAATCGTGAGGTGTAGTTTTCGAAATTACTATGGATCTTCATCAAGTACTATGGATCTTCATCATGAACAGCTTGGAGACCACCATAGTAAATTCCGACTTGGGTAAAAAACATTCATTTTTGGTACATCACGGATAATATTTTAAACTATAGTATTTTACGAACTGTAGTGACTTATATTACTACTATGATAACTTTTTTTAGTTAGTAAAACACGCGAAAGACGTGTTGCGTTTTTGTGAAATTGTCAAGTGAACGTCTCACAATAATTATATACTACCAATATTTTTGAATCGTGATTCATTCAACCTTTTGAACTATTGTTTCTTCATTCCTAAAAATACTGTACATGGATTATTTTCCTTCTCTTGTCTTACATTTTTTGTGATATTCCCAGTGTAAACAAAGAATACTCAATATCGAATTATAACACACCACATTTACAGATATTTTTAGATTTGAAAAATATGACAATAAAAAAATTTACCATTTGGTAGAATTCTGTTCCAGGCCAGCGAGAATCTGTAATGATTGACTCCTAGTGTTTTGAGCATGGCTACGTCTTCTTTGTATTTATGGTACGAATCACAAGCAACATCACCATTGGATCTATCATCAATGAAATCTGGCTGTCGATGGGTGACGTTATCCCACATATTTTCTGTTTTTCCATCTTCGTTCCATGCACCTAGCGAATAAATAAGCTGAATTATTATTTGCACAGTCATTTTCATGGTCATGGTCATGGTAATTTTCATGGAGACATGGTCACACATACCTTCTACTTGATAGGAAGCAGTTGCAGTACCGAACATAAAATCATCAGGAAACTTTTGGTTGCTGATCTCATAGTCATCTGCGTTAATTGTGCTAAAATTTGAGGAAAGAAGTGATCAGCGATATTTGGTTTTTTCAACTTACCAAATGTTACAGATTAGCAGAAATAACGACAATGTTGCTACTGAAATCATTTTTATCGACTATGGGATTCAGGCGCGTACTATCTCGTTATATATAGATTTCTGAGTACTTCAATTTGTTTGTCAATTTTTTTCATTTCTAAATAAAATATTATAAGAGAAGTGTATATTCGTTACTTTTATCTCAGATTGAATTTNTTGCGTATCACGACCAATCATTGTGCATTGCGGAAGAAGTAAAGGATGAGTTCCGAATTCTTTGAAATTATGTGGAAAAAAGTTGAGGACTACAATGTTGACTATCATAAGAATATGGAAGCTTATACTTTTGAGGAACGGTTTGAAAACACACTGATCCCAAATTTGGATGCGAATAGTGTAATAGTTCTTGACAACGCCTCCTATCATTCGCGACAGCTCATCAAAGTACCGAATAAAAATTCGAGGAAAGATGAAATACAAGTTTTTCAATGGATAACAATTTGTATTTTGAAGATAACTATACCTTGAAGTTTTACAAACAAAAACATTTGAAAAAGTGTAAGCCCTTGAGAGAAGCGGAAATGTATGGGCATACTATACTGGATTAAAAAAGTAATTTTAGTTGAAAAAGACTATATAGAGATTGGACACTTCCATATTGATTGTGGAAATAAATTCATTATTGATTTAAACACTGACATGAAAACTTGGCAAGTTGACTTGAGTGTCATACCAATAGGTGGTTCCACTTATGTCTCACTTGCATTTACGCAGTTATTCTCATTTTGTCTTCAATCGAGGACCGCCTGCCCTGTACTGACGATGCCCAATAGGCTGAAACAGCTGTCTATCGGTGGTTCTTAAATTGAAATTAATATGGGAGTGATCAAAATAGTACTCCTCCATTCATCTCTCGATTTTCATGGAATTATTTTCCAGCAGCTTGACTGCATTAACCTTTCTCGATTTTGCAGGCTATGGAAACACTATTTTTCGTTATTCAAGCTTTCGGAAATATATTTTTTTCCCTTTATCTGTTCGTCGCGAGAAGAAGGCTTATTATGACTATTTATTTCAATCTGAAGACTCTAAAAAATTATGGAAAAACCTAAGGAATATTAATAATACAAAAAGTAATACTGATTTACCAATTCCCTTGCAAAATCCTGAAGAAATCAATAATTATTTTGCTTCAGTATTTCAAGAAAGTGTGTTCAAATTAAAATTCATCTCA